GTAACATTATTATAATAATCATAATGATATTGGTATTGGTAAGACTTGTGTTTACCATTTCTGAAACGATTAGCTGTCTCAGAGTCCAGTAAAATTTCAATATAGTCTCCTCGCAGTCCAAACTAAACGATTCAAGATGGGCGCCCGAGTTGTCCACCATATTTATGATAACTCTCCCCAACTCTTTTCTAGTGAGCCCTGTGAGTTTTGACTCATGGATGAGTCTAACAACAGTTCGTTTAGCGCCATCTGCTGACTTTAACCACAATTTGGTGATCACAAAGGCTAACCTATAGAGCAACTGGTGCATTAAACAACGGGCCCACACTCTGTAATCACTCAACTACTGTTAAACTTATCCATATGCCACCAGGTTAAAAGACTGTTGAGATTAACCGAAAACAACATATGAAAAATGACATTTTGTATGTAGAAAGACACAGTTATTTTGTTTAGTGGGCTCAGAAAAGACAAATCGTTTGACAAATATTAAAAGTCCTACCAAATTACAATCATTTGGAAACTTTTTCACTCCAAGTTAAATAGTCATACTCAAAAACAAAGAAAGCTGAATCTTAATTTGACGCAGCAGTTAAAAATCACACTATTTTTATAATATTATCTCGATGTTTAGCATCATAGCAAAGTCAACAACACTTCTGTTACAGCCTGACATACCACCACAGCCCAAAATTGTGTACTAACGGCATTGGTAATGTCAACAAATGAAGTGTTTTAATCCATTCACTGGTAGAAGTACTTCCACCTGGTCAATTTCATTGCAGTGATGAATAAACAAACACGCTCATACTGATAATTATAAAATCACACGTTCATTTCTAATGTTTTTCTACTAACACTGGGCGGGATCTGAGAATTGGGTCACATCCATGGCACCACCATGCAACACACACGAGAACTACCACATCTGCCTAGCATTGCCCCTTTTGCTAAACGCCTTTATTTAATATTTTCTATTTTACAACAATAATTCCCATGGGATAACGCACGTGACACCATAAGTGCATCACCCAGAGCAATAGATAAATATGTCAAAAGGATTAGTTTTTAGTGCACCTCATAATCAACGATTCTATTATGTTCTATTTGTGACGGATTTGTTATTATATATTTATCGATGTTTGTTTAAATTAAATGTATATTCAAAAATGTACAAATTTATACTGTTAAATATGTATTGCGAAACTCCCGCCTTATTGTCTAAAGTTGTAGAAGATTCTTGAGTGTAAGAATCAGCAATATATGTGTGAACGTAAACGCTAGTGATAGCGTCAGTATTGCTACATAAAACTGAAATTTCGAGAAACTCTCCACACATACGTATAAATATAACTAACGTGACGCACCAAAAAGGAGTATCTATTATTGGTTTGCTATAAACTTCGGAAGCTATAACTGTGATTGTTATAACATTTATTAATCGAGAAACTTCAGATATTTGACCAGGAACATTTATAAATTTCATATCGGATATTAGTACTTTTACGAAGATATTATATAATTTCAGCCGTAAAAGAAACTCGACCTGTAATTGGCGTGTGATCACCGAGAATTACAGAGCTAGCTAGCTCCCTATTAAGTGAATTGTACCTACGTCAACTCGAAATTAACATCGTCAACCCTCGATAAGATATCAAGGAAGTTCCAGACTAGAAAGAATACTTTATATTGCTTGTAAGTTTGTAAAACTTTTGTATATAAATCATTGTTTGTAATAACTGTTATTGTAAATTATATTATTGTTTGTGTATTAAAATATTTTATATTGAAAAAAAAATTGTGTGTAACAATCTTGTTGGTAAATATCGTAAATTGGATATATATCGGCATTTATTTAACTACTCAATTTAAATTATCATTTAGCTTGGTTTCAGACCATTCAAAATTGTAATACATAACATATTCTTTTCATTCTAAAATGAAATTCTTCCCGGTAATGGAGAATGGCGCGAAAGAAACTGGATGTGGGCAAAACATCAAATTCGTTCAGACAGTGTTTGGTAATAATACTGGTGTTGTAGGTTTTATTGTTCTTTTATTCAACTGCAGAGTTTTCTAGTGGTTGATTCAATATATCTCTGGTTGCATAATTGGCACGCGAACTTAAATACCATTAGCGAGGTATTCAATTGTTGTTTGTCTTTAAAACATAGTCTATGTTAAAATGGCACTTCAACTTTAAAGACAATATATCACAGCCACTGGTTGCGCGAAATTAAAAAACTAACAGAAAACACAGCCAGTAGAAGGATCTACAGGCTGCAATGTTAGAACCTACAATACGAGTATTATTACCAACCACTGTCTAAATTAATGTGATGTTGTGTCTTGCGCGTCATTTTCTATTACCGGGAAGAATTTCGCTTTAGAATGTTAGAACCTTTTGACATTAAGTTAAGAAAACCCATTCTTAACCAGAAGAGGAGCACCTTGCCACTACATCTTCAACTGTGAAAAACTTAAAGGAAAAAAATACATGGATTGTGGTCGTAAAAAGGAGTAGTCACATTTATTACCTACGTTCTACAATCAAAACTACACAAGTGTATGAATATGTGCGAATTTGTTTTTTTTTGAAATCGTTGATGAATATGCTGTTCATCTAACTAATCCAAGGAACCTCTGGTGAATTAGCAGTAAGTTAGTGAGCTTAAAACGCTACAAATTGAGGATCAGTACCCGCAGTAGTTATAGCCCAGATAACCTATTGTGTAGCTTTGTGGTTAAATGAAACAAATTAATTAAAGGAGACGGAAAATACTACATGTGTCTTTGTATACCATTTTGACAAAGAAAACTGGGAGGACATCTTTCTTTGTAAATATAATGGACGTAACATTAGAATATCCAATTATGAAATTGACAATATTATTTAATTTCAAGTGTGCTCTAGAGCAACAACAAAAAATCGATAAAACAATTATTCTACCGCAACTATATATATATATGTTTAAGAAAATAACCAGATAAACCTATTAACTGTATTCGGTAAGAAAGTATGAATATATATATGGCAAACATTTATTTTCTTACGTAATGATGTGGTAAAATATATACTGCGATAATGTAACTACTGATTTGAAGAAGTGAAATGTTTGATTATATAAACAGAGCTGTTACTACGTGACTATTTGCGTTATTTATACACAAACCGTCCGCGTTTTTACAAATAATCGATAAAATCCAGTTCCATTGTAAGAAGAAATGCCACTCCAGTGAGAAGTGTTCCCTTGTTCGCCAGGAAGAACACACAGAAACGCACGTGATTGGAAGCGTGACAATGAATATGGCCTACGTGCCTAAACGCATGCAAGCACATAGCAGACGAGAAACAAAAGTTTCACCTGCGCTAGGGCACTAGAACCAAACCCATATTAATAACCAAGTTAACAAAACAAAACTAAGAAAACTGGTTTATAGTCAAACTTTTTTTTTTCTTCATACTGTGATTAATGCTTGAAAACTGTGAAGGTATATACTTACATTCAAGATTATATATTAATGACATAA